TTAACGCGATAGTTTAATAAGGCCTAAGGCGTTTCATACACGAAGTTTATAACGACGATATATATATATATATATATATATATATATAAAATACAAAAATTAATCAACGAAATACAAATGAGAGAATTATTGGACGCTACATGCATGTCGGTGAACAGCGCCCCGCCGTCCTCCCCATCATTTCGTGTGCCGCTATACTCTCATCCGAAATGCTAATAGCAATGAAAGTCACTGCTTCGTTTTTATACGTTTTTTGCATCTATGCAATGCAGAAAAAGCATACTGACGAGGAGCTGTATGTGTGTGTCTGTATCGATTTTTCATCTCAAGACCTACAAAAGCTACAGGGCTGAAACTTTGCAAACTTAATTTACATGCATGTAAGGGCTCAGTCCTCAAAATGGGCGCTTTTTCCCACGAAGTTCTTCCGAAACGGCTCACCGAAATTTTTGGTGGATAAGCTGCTAACTCAGGAACCAGGAAAGCTAGAATGGTGAGATTTTAAGGGGATGTTTTCAGACGGACCTGTTGCAAGTCTCAATTCTCTTAGCTAGAAAATCTGCCGGAAAAACAGTGTTGTTAGTGACAAAAACCTGCGGAGAACTATGGAAAAAAGCGCATCTTCACACTGTCAGTCGGTGCGCTGGCCACTTATCAATTTTTATTTTGGAATCATAAACAATTTTGAAGTTTTACAAATCAAAATTCTGCCTCAGTAATTGTAAAATGCTGATGCTCTTCGTGACTCGTAGAAATATTCTCAGTTTTAAAGTTGATGGCTCGAAACCATCAGCAGGATAACAAACCCTTCTACGACTGCTTTACCCTTTTCGCTCGTAACTTCATGCTAGCATATGTTGTTTTTAATAATACTCGGAGCAGCAGGAGCTACCAGTAAAGTTATCCCTTCACCACTCATGGGCAATAAAGCACAGGGAGAAATTCAGCTTATTTATATAGGGCTCTTAAAGCTAACTGCGCATGCGAAGGATTACTGGAAAAGTGCCCATTTCGAATAACTCCATTTTTACACAATTTTTTGAACTTATCGTTACCAAACATTGTCTATTTTGAAAAAATTTCCACAATCATCGTGACTGAGGAAGTAACAACGTTCAAAACGAAGCGAAGTGACACTCGGTGCACACTAGTGACATCTGGAAACTGCTAGAGCGTTGCTTGGTGCTTCTGCCGATAGAACCGCTCAGGCAGTGATTCCTTCCAGCCAGGCGTCAAGATCGCCAGCATATGACCACCAAACGGTGCAATTTTAAT